AAAAATGACTGCATCGTTTCATGTCCAAATAATGTACGACTGTTGGACTCTTTTGTTCTTTTTCGTTTCGTTAAATGGAGCGACACCTCGCGACCAGTTGCGGATTGGATATCACTTTTACCAGGTTCATTGTTCGTGGTGGCAATTGCCAAAATAATTTATTACCGGAGTCAAGCGACTAACAATGCGCGTCTATTGGAGCGAGACGCGTTTCAGGGTTAAAAGGGTGAAATCTGTCGCGTCTCCATCGTCACCTAGTCGCTGTTGCTGCCCTGACGCGATTTTATCTTTCATTGTCGTCGTGAGCGTTGGGTGAAGGTGCCTGTATGTGGTCAGTGTATAGTGTTGTTGGCGTCCGCATCTGTATCTTGATGGCGGCTGTGCATTGTATGGTCACCGTATCCATATTTATCGGACAGCTCTCTCAAGGGGTGAAGTGGGTTAAGCAAAGCATCACGTGTAAAAATAATCATGTAATTTGTTATTACATTACGGCGTGGCAATGGAGTTCCTAATGCTGCAAAAAAAAATTAGCTGTTTGATCGAAAATAGAATATATATCTAGAGATGTCTAGGGTTGTGTCTGCATATCAATTCAACGGTACTCTAGGCAAGGTTAGAATGAGCAATTTTAAATTGCCTTAATAATGAATTGTCTATTTGTCAATGAACGTTCATGAATGTTCATTAATAATCGAAATCAATGATACTCTGATGTTCCTTCGCAGGGATAGCTCTAGTAGCCTATCCAATTTAGAACTAGAATAGGACAATATAACTGGCACCTGGCATTTAGCGCGTTTGGCGCGTTAGACAACGAAGCTTTCTGGAAGGTGAACCTATCTCAGAAAATTCTAACAGCCGTAGGCGCTTCAGAAAACGGTTTTTTTTTTCGTTCGCTCATTCATAATTTTATCCTATTCATTCGTAACAATCAAGCCCCCGGGCGTCCGTACGATTCGCATAACTTCTGCTATTGAAAGAAATTAGGCCTTGTAATACCACTTACAGGCGGCTCCATAAAAGACGTTGATTTTCATTTAGGATTAAGGTTCCTCATTTTTACTTCAAATCAATTATGCGACGTCTTCCCATGATTGAAATGGGACGACCTATTCTATCTGCGAGTTAGTGAATATCAATTTAGATGCAAATATATAGAGATCTTTCTCAAACTTCTTGAAATCTGGCTATTAAATTCTAACATTATATAATATTACCTAATTGTTTGAGACTCACGATTGCGACTATCCGATAGCCATTGTAGCTTTGAGGCCATAAGCAGAGAACACATGTTATTTGATATTAACAGCTTTTTACCTCCTGCTTATTGAGTTTACTTGAAAGACGCCACGGATAATCTGGAAGTCCTTTGATTACAGTGTCAACTATTTCTCAATTCGTTATCTGATAGAATTGTCCATCACACAATCTGGCCTTCTGGTGTTTCTAATTAATGAAGTCAAAGCGACAGCAACCATCGATATTATTTCTTTTGTATCTATTTACAGCCCCGTGGAAGAAAAGCCGAACAATGAGAAAGACAAGCATCAATGACTATTTGTAAATATCCACGATTGGCTGAAACAAGGTATAATTTCCTTATACCGGTTCTAAGGTCCGCGCAAACTTAGTTGCCCAAATGGCCTTTAATAGAATGTTTCAGATTGTTTTTTTTTTAAATTGGTTAACCTATTCCTAGATAAACTACTCCTAAAACATTTTTCTCAAATGTCCTTCATCCTGTCTAACTTCATTAACTAGTATCTAATTTGTTAGCGGGGTCATCACGGCCATCCTGGCAGGACGACGTTAATTAACTCCTTATTGTTCCAGTATGCGTCTCGTCATAAAAAAAGAGTGAAAAGTTCTTCAGGTTTGCAAAAATTCGATGCGGCACTTTGTCAACTGTCTCTGTTAAGCTATGTCACGGGCATCAACCCTTCTGAGATGATCACGGAAGGTGAGAGGGAACGAGAGAAAAATCGTCGACTGCAAACATCTTGCTGTCAATCCTGTGCCTCCATAGATTTCACCGAAACAATGAGTCTATGTTAATTGCTAGACCTCCTACGCTGTCATTCTCCTGAATGCTTCAGTGTCACTGAACGAATACGTATTATAGTTTGAGGCAATGATTCCTTATAACTTCCTTCTGAAAATGTATACTGTCCAAGCTGTAGTTATTGTCATCCACGTAAACATACTTGATCCATAAGCTAAGCGATGTGGCCAATGCATGACGGGTGGGAGGCCGCCCTTATGTGCGACCAGTTTAATGATTCTTGTTTCATTTGTGCTAGTCTTCTTCGCAATAGTAGCAGCAATCGACGCCCAGCCTTGTAGTTAGAGTGACCAGTATCTTCATCACCTTCTTGGCACCCTCTTGCCAATGCAGAGCCCCCGCTGCGATATCGCTGTCATCGAGGCAGTAGCAGAGAAAAGTTATTCTTCAATAATACTCGTACTTTTGATGTTGAAGATTTAGCTGCTGATGGCGGTGATAAATCATGATATCTTCTTCTTCTTCTCAGACGTCGTCATCGTTATATTTTCGCGAACGACGTAGACTTAAAGATATCATTGGCCTCCAACAACGCTGGATAACATTCATTCGCGGACAACGTCAAATGTAACAGTTTATTTGCTGCCATTGCGTCATAGGGTTTTTCCCGCGAATTCAACGGCGCCTTTGTCCGAACGAACCGAGGCTCTTGTGCTTGCAAACAGCGATGTTCGGTATGGTATGGAACGACATGGGGGTCAAGATTTGTCACCTACTAAAATCGCCCCTGTGGGTACCATCTGGATGCGCTTCTTATTCGTAATGTTTTCATTGGTGAAAAGTACCGGCTTGACAAGTGATAGACGTCTGAACTTTATGACACTGTACAGGCATTGCCTAGAGATCTAATAAACAAGACTCTGAAATGATGTGTTCATCCGACGGGCGAGCCAAACTTATGCCTTTAGTATAACTAGTTCAATGTGTTAATTCTTAAATTTGGCTATTCTTTATCCCAATCAAACTACCTTACTCGTCAATTCTGCATTCACATTGAAGGTAGCTACACCTTCCTGTAAAGAGGTCAAATCATGTACGTTAGCCTTTTTAATAGAAATGCCAGATGAATGGGTTAATGAAATTGAGGTGTTTGACAAGAAAGGCTTTCGGTCAACCGAATCTTCTAGATAATGCAATTAACGTTACCAAGGCTGAATGCAGCCAGTGTTATATCTTAGGAGGTATAACTTCTCTCGTACTTGTCTATTAGCTCTTTGTATATATCGTACTTGTATAAGATCTATGGATATAATCTCGTAGTATGTAAGACTTTCAATACATGGTTGTTTCAGTTTATACTTAGATATATGGCTGGACAAAATATCAGATTTCCTTACCATATCTTGGTAATACCGTATACCTAGCGCGTTAATTGTAAAAGCTTTGTTAAATGTATTTGTAGCACAATCATTTTTTATTTATGTTAAACCAGTATTATTTTTACGGCCTTGCCCTAACTGCTCATTGAAATAGACGGAATCAGCCACAAAGTCTAAACTGACGTATTCAATCATAATAGAGATTTTTTTAAACTTGAGCTGATCGCCTCTGTATCAGATGCAAATGTAGTGATATTTCAAATGATATACTAAACGTTCTCACCAGCTAAATGTCATAGACATTAAAATAATACGATAACAATTCTATGTTTGCTACTAAAACTCGTAGAATTGTGAAAAAGTCGTTACCAAAAAAGGCAGCGAAGCTATGGCTCAAAAAATATCACAGGCCGAACTATATTCTATAGGTATCGTAAGTAAAGTACAAAAGTCAAAATCGTGAGCCGTTGACAAGATAGCCAGGTTAATATCTCTCGTGTCTTAATCGTGCTGTGACTCACTCCTCGATGCTTTGCGGGAAGCATTATTACTGTCAACGCCGTCGCCATATTGTACTGGCAGTGAAACAAAGTACCGGCATGTCGGTTATGGACGGTCCGTCGGACTGACATGCAGACAAACAACGACGCTGACAATAGCGTCCCGGTGGCAACCAGCCCTCGAATCTAGATTAGTAAACAATACGATGGGTGACAGTCGAGCCGTTATTATATATATATAAAAGAACAACGCAACGGGATGTCTCACTGCGGTAAATAAGCAATAGCTCAACGAAGAGGTTGTTTTTCATTGACGTCAACGCTTTACCAGCGCTGTTGTAGGTGGAAGGGCAGACCGAGGTGGGCAATAATGTCTGGACGATGTTTACATTTCCAAAATGCCATAGTTGAATATTGGGCAGTGCTGGTTTACGATTCTGAGCCGCATTGGCGATATGAGGTCGGGAAATTTCGCGCACATTATGAAATTACATATTGTGTTATGATAACAGTATTACTGGGTACCTCTACAAAGGTATGGTTGATAAGACGATGAACAGTAGACGCTGTCGCTTGCAATCCTGTCCGTTGGTACCTCCGCTGCTGCGACGGTCGTTAATGATGACGTCGCCGTCACCGCCCTTACCATTACTAACATCATCAACATCACCCCCTGATCATCACGACTAAGGGCTGACAAAGGCCACTGACCATCTAGTCTATCTATGGACAAAGCGCCGCAAATATATCTCGACAGGACTTAACAGGACAACAACAAGTGACGATATGCAGCATCATCTTCGTTCTACAATGTTTGTGTACTGGAAGAGGTATCAGCAGCGACAGCTGTAATAGTGGCTGTGGTTCCAGGGGGAGCCCCCGATGGGAACGCAGCGGCTTACGATGATGCTGTGACGCCCTCGCAGCCACAGGTCTCCTATGCATACGGTATTCACTGTGCGGCTGGGTCTAATCAGCCTGCTGTTATTCAGTTCTCTTCTGAGGCAGTAGTACAACGTTAGGCAACCACCCCACGTCGTCAGATCCCTCGCCCATCCCAACTACTGCCCGTAGCTATCTATATAAGCTAAGTTCAAAGCATCCCTGGCCCAAACGCCCACTGCATGAGATAGATTGTGCTACAGCAGTACATTACTAACGTCGGAGTCATTACGAATTGAAACAATTAGGCATATCAGCCACTACAGAACATGTATACAAAGGTGTTCAGCTTTTCGACGTGCACACTAATTGCGCTGACCCTATTTACGAGTGAAGCTAACACCCAGTCATGTCATTTACGCGAACTCGACATTTGCGCCGTGTCTTCGGTCGCGTTCAACAAAGTTGCCACAACGGAACACGAAATCGATCGGTACTGTAACCTATTCGAGGACGCTAAGGAGTGCTTCTTCAATTACACGAGAAAATGCATGACGCCCCTGCATCGTGAGCTGTTAAACTTTGGCATCGAAGGCGCCAAGGAGCTGAGCTCGAAATTCTGTAAACGTGGCGACCGGCTTCGCAATGACTATCTGAAGCATGCCCCATGCATCGCTCGCGCTATGCCCGAGGGCAAGAAGTGTCTTCAGGATGCGCGGACAGGTTTTGAGAAAATTGAAGAGGCCAAATTTCAGGATCGAATCTCGACCGCGTGCTGTACTTATATGCGTTATCAAAACTGTTTGACGGGTGCGGTTGCAGGGCGCTGTGGCGAGAAGGCTGTCCAATATGGTCACATATTGGTGCGTATGGCATCGTCTAACCTTATCGACATCATGTGCCAAGGTTACGACACGAATCCTGTCTGCAAAAAACTTTTGCCTCCGCCAGGAACGAAACCCAAGGGCAACTCGAAATCGGTGGTAAGCAAGTTGTTCGCTGCGTACGTCGGCATTTGAGCGTACAGCCCAGTCGCTTCGCGATCTCGATCAGTGTTACCAACTATTTAATCTGGTGTAAATGGATCATGAATTGTCAAATGTGCACTATGGCCGTTTGGCGTATGGTTTATTGCACTGTAATAGTTTGAGCTAACTCGAGTATCACAATCTAATCAGCTTTGTGCTATTTTTAATTATTTGTCAGAGCAAGCACTGCCTGCATTTAGCAAAATACGTTAGAGACAAAGAATTGGATGCCTGTTCTCGTCCGGATCGATTGTTTATATGAAACGCACCGAGAACGTTCATCCGGTGCATCATCCTAGGTTTCGTGTGAGCATCCCTTAGCAAGCGTTCCTAGAAGATAGGTTCCAGTCGAGCGAATATCACCAATATTCGATATCCGACCAGCTATACGTGATTTAGAGTTTCATTCGTCATGAGCCTCATATGATCCACTTCAAAATTGTGTGGAATTTTGCTTAGTTGAAATATTTCTCTTCTTGATTTTGGATGACACAAGAAAGGGTCAGGAGCAATCTGGGATTTTGACAAGGTCTATGACAAATCGTTTCCCTGTAAAAAGAAGCTAAATCTATGAAGTATGCCAAACGTAGATTATGCACAACCGGTTTTACGCATGAGTTAGCGGTAAGAGCTCAAGTGAAGGTGACTTCGTTGATGTTATCGACCTTGAAGGCAACCAGTTAACTTTGTCTGTATCACTCAGCGGTTCCCTACCTATATATATATATATATATTTAAATAGAAAACTGAAATGCTAGTTGTAATAGAAACGCAATTGTATTCATCTTCTGTGTAACGGTGATATAATACTGTTATCGTCTATGTTGTATGACTGGACAAAAGTGTTTTGTTATTTCCGAATGTGTTTGCTAACATATTGTATTCTCTACTACGCATACGACTAGAAGAGCTGATAATTACGATCTATCTTATCAATATATTTAATAAAGTTTTTCGTGTTGTTACATTGATAATAACGATATTAAATAAACTGATAGGCTACTGGTGACAGTGAGATGTAATCGCCATTTTATTTTTGTATGTTCGGGAGCTATAGGCATTTATTGTTATTTTGAAAGGGCAAAGCTAGCCAGATTTAGTGGTAAGCGAACCGATTCGGAAGGGCACATAGATCTCGAGATCAAAAAAAGGCTTAGGATGATACTAGTTTCGTTCTTTGATTAAATACGTTTGAACAAATACAAACATGTATTCTTAACTTAATTCAACGTATCGTGCGCGTTAACAGTACCGAGAGTTTTAGACAAATACAAATGGAAGACAATTAAACAGAGATTAGCGACAGAGTCATTTTGTCTGCCTATCCGCTCGATATAGCCTCGTCGTACCTAGAGTTCGGACTGCTGACAAGTCGAAACGGCACTAAAAACGTTCTTGTATTTTGAGCCTCCGATTAAGGCGCATTTCATGGATGCCATATTGTAAGGTAATTAATATGGAACAGCTATGCGAAGGTTAAAGCAAACGCCCCTAGCGTTGCAAACGTGAAGCTCCTTTATCGATCGATGATAATTTACGGCGCGGTATTCGGTTACTCATTAAAGATAGGTGAACGTCAAAAATGTTTAATTCGATATTAGATCCGTGAGTGGGAAAGTAGAGTGGTTTGTAATTTAATATTTTTTTTCTAAATCTACTTTTGAAATTTAAAAGAAAATAGCTTTGGTAGAAAAAAAAATGTTAAAAACTGCTCTAAAACTAAACCACTTGAACCAGAAACGTTTCTGAGGCGTCATTGATGGAAGCACAATTGATTTGACCATCATATCCGTCGTTTCTGGCAGCCTACGAAAGTAGAAAGGGAATTTCGTGTCGAAATTTGAGCGCGAGATACCAACAAGTCCGGCAATTGGCAGGCCGTCCTAAATGTCCCCAGTGTATTTAGGACGCCTGCCCCAAGGTCCGACATCTGAGCCAACTGACACATGACGAATAGCAGCAACATCAATTATTGACAACTCTAGCGAACGAACTTGTGTCACACTTTCCACCTACCACAAGATTCGTTCCATGCAGGCCATCCTCTGTCTACCGCAATGTCAAAGCAAGCTTGCAAAAGTATCGCGGAAATATCCTGTGGCGACGCCCGCTGCTGAACATCAAAGGCAACACAGACAGGTAGTCCTATCCTGGATCGGACACTCGTCCTTTGTAGGTTGGTTGACGAAAGTGCACTGAAGTGAACAAGAGCAAGCGGATTTCCGCAACCTCAGTGAGCCGTGGGAGTGATAGCTACATTCCCTGAGGGGCAGCAGCAGCAGGCTTTGATGCAGGGGGTGGTGCTTGGCAGGGCGACGAACCGAAGCCAACCAACGGATAAATACAGGAAAGAGGCAGTAAAGACAGACCTAAGCAAAGTGTCAATAAACACCGCACTTGTGAGCAACAGAGACAAACACATGCGGATATGAGAGACATTGAGACGAAATAAGGCGACATCTTCTATCTCTGAATCTCTCAAATTTGACGCCTAGCGCATCATTAGTTAAATAGTATTTTACTGAAAAATCTAGTTGGCGGCCGTGATTTCCATAGAAATAATAGCAGTACAAGCGAAATTCTACCTGTACCATAAGTATCGTGTACAGATGTACGGCAGCAAAAAGAACATTTTCGTGGATGTAGATTTCTTTGCCGCTGTCATTATCACATTGAATGCAACCATAGAATCTGCAAAGAAATGAATGTATAGGCACGGGAAACGGGGAAGGGTTTTGCAAGTCGTAGATTGGCGTGAGAGAACGCGTTGAGTACTGCTCATCAAAGTAACCTCTTTATGGCTACCTATAGTTTAGAAAGAGTATGCATATAATGTTCTAGAAGGATCCTCGCCTGCCTTTTTATTTATCTTCGTTTATATTTTGAATAGATGAACTCATTTACATTGCTATCTATCATTCATATCTTCTTAGAACTTGCTGGCTGTTGCCGCCTACCTTCAGTCGCTACTGAGGATCACGCATATGATTAATTATGACAAACATATACTAGAAACGGTAGGACGGTAATCTTTATAGATACGTGTATGACACATTAAAGCGTCCGTAGTTTTAGCTGCTGCTGCGTCAGTAGCTGGCGTTGTCTACCTAAGGGCTCTGCCTCTTGTTTTAATCAATAAGAGCTATTACTATCGACATGTATATCACTTGAGAATTCAACGACAGGATAAACTTACAATAGAATTCTAATTCATTCCTTTAAACCTACTTGCAGTTTAACTTTTGAACTGTAGTTACTTAATGTAAATTGTATTATTCCGCTTAAAAGGTATCGACAGCGATGGCATGATCGTATAGCGCTATAGCCGTTCGGAGTCTTCATTTGCTTGCAGTGGATTCGGTTGATTGCTGGTGGTCTTCTGGATCTGGGACTCGTATCAGCAGTAGCAGTGGCAAGGGGCAAACGCTGAAGGCAACGTTGCTAACCTAGCCGGGGTCAGTGGCACATTTCCCACGATCATTACCCCCCGAACCCAGCCCACTTCCCCGTTTCGCACTCTCTGTCCCATCCTAACATCCTGTTTCCCTAACATCTCGATTGGGCGTCACCATCTGCCCTCGATCGGCTAAGCTAGGAAGCACGGCATTCCATCTTTCTTTCTTTTCCTTTACCTCTCCTTAGCCTCCTTCACTGCCTTCTCCGCCCTAAGCTTTATCTACCCACCTACCAAGCCTTACCGCAAAGAAAGACTATGGCTGCCACGCCAAGACTAGTACAGGGCTAACAGAATGATGCCATCAGCATAACCCGCCACCACAACTATCGTCACCACCAGACCCAGCGACTAGCAGACGAACACATGCGCCCCGCACCCCCTCCCACCTCTTGAAAGGAGCAGTAGCAACCACTGGTTCTGCTTCTGTTGCCCGTAACAACAGAAAGGCTTGGTTACCCGTGGCGACTTGCTCTCTGCTTCACTCGGTCGACCCCAGCCAACAGGCAGCTAGCTGCTTTCCAACTAGTCAGCCTTGCAACTTTAGCCCCCTTCTTTGCTCTTGTCGCTATCTACCTTCGCGAGTTCACAGAGATCGTCTCACCTCGTAGCTCTGTCTTTTTTCCTATTCGTTGCCGGCTCCCTTCCCTAGAGCTACACATCTCACCCAGCAACTTCTCCGATGGTACAAAATGGCCGCTTTGCTTCTCAGTCGTTCTTTTATTCGCGCATTCACCCGTCCGTCTTGTTTTCTCATACATATATCCCGTTCTGCCGAATGTACCGCGACCTGTGAAGTTGTGAGCCCGCAAAAGGCCGAAGGTAAGGGGCGGTTGAAAGGCTCGAAGCTACGAAGCAACGGCAAGTTTTCTCGGTTCCTGGCCACGGCTATTGGGTACACCCGTCGCCACCGCCCTCCAACAAGGGACATGTTGCCTAATCGGCGTAAGTACTATATGTAGGCCGAGTCTGAGTGTTACAGCTACTTCGGTAGCGGGAGCCGCCACGACAGCGGAAAACGCGCTGGGCGAAGCACACCGTCACTAGAGCCTGACTGTTGGTAGTTGACGTGGTCACGGCATTTCCGAATCACCGCAAACATTGCTAACTCAACATGGGCAATTTGTGTGTACCGGCGCTAGTAACCATGGCAAAACAGCGGAGAGAAACCGGGATTTAAAGGCCAGCTTGGTTTGTTACCACGCCGAGGGTCTGAGCAAGCCCCGCAGAGCCATATATCAAGAAAAACATGACTAAGTAAAAGGATTCTTGGCTAACACGAGAGAGAACTTGCAGTAAATCATTTCAACATCAATGATGAAATGTGACGTCGACTGCGGATTTTAGGTTTTCTAGAGTAACGTGGCCTTTGTAGAATTGCAAACGTTGAGCTGAAGTTTGACATAGCGCTATAAGGACAGCATAAATAAATATAATTAGGTAATGTTCCAATGTATGGAACTATATTTACACGAATATTCCATTGCTTATGGTCGAGAGCCAAAACTGAACGGCCAAAACGTGCTTTTTATTTGCTCTGTTTTCTGAACCTCGAAGAAATATGAATTTATATGTGTATATATATATATATATATAGACACGTATATATATATATATATAGACATGTATACATATATATATATAGACATGTATATATATATATATATATATATATACATATATATCTATATGTCTACTTGCTTCATTCGATATATCCACATCGATAGTTCTCACTAAGAATTTCCGAATTGATAAGGTTCAACTTATTCCCTCCCAATGTTTACTTATAGATACTTTAAATGTTTACTTAGATATTTTAAAATATACACGATCAGTTTATGCTTCATTAGATAAATGTAATAAAGAGACAACACCGATATGATATGCGCACCTTCCCGAACACCATCTGGACTCGAATTGGTACATTTGTCTAATGTTCGTACAATATGTCATATCATAGCTCATCTTGACCCGCTCCGATCATCGTCACGAAAGTGCTTTATGATCCTCTTAAAAGTAAATTACCTGAATTGTTAGTAATCAATTATTACCAGAAAGCTAGTCTTTTTTTTTTTTACAAAAGTCTGCTTTTAGCTTTTCACAGTTAGCAAAACATTCCGCTTTACAGTCAAATTTTACTTCAGCAAGATTCTGCATTGACAAGCAAAGGCGAAACGACCCATCGTCCTATTGTTCAGGGTGCTCAGATATGTGGTAAATCTCCGTTTCAGTAGCGGCTCTACGTAAACTGTCATCAACTTAACAGTTAATGGAAGCACAAAGTTTAAAAAAGAAGTTGTACGAAGCAAAGCAATTTGTACACCGTACGCTTTGTCCAGTATGTGCATGAAGACTTCATCTAGAATTCTGACAACATTATTCAAAAATAGTAACGTGTTACTCTACGCCAAAAAAACATCGCACTCTCTTAGGCGAGCCGGCAATGCAGGACTTGCCTATTTAGTCTGACCTTTACTGTCAATAGATAATAACTGTTGGCTGAAAAAGTTTGTCATGCTGCACTGGGATATTAAAGTGTAAATAGTTATTGTCAACTATGCATGTTCTCTCTGAATGGCCGATTCTAATTATGTTATTATAGTTTTTTTCGTGTATAAGTCAAGGTTCGTATTCTCCCAGGTTTGTGTTTGCTTTAGCTAGCCAATAGTTTCTTTCGGATTTCCTAATACGGTCAGGTAAGGGAGCCTTGTTTTCGCTGGCCTTGTCAACGACCACGCTCTCTGGCTACCACGATCGCGTTTGAATTATTATTTATCGCCCGAGGTTAAGTATTCGATCACTGCTAGGTTACGCGGTGTTGCGGCTACCGTATTTAGCTTCACAATAGATCCATTTGAAGGAGTTAGAAACAAGACCGACCCTGCCACCGCAAGTGCATAAGGTCATTGACGATAGGGACTATTGTAAACCGTTATGGCAGCTGAATTAAACGCGAAGACCATTGCCGACTGGCTCAAGGATCAGTCTCTACGAAAGATGAACAAATATAGCACAGTTTGAATGACTGATTGATTGTTAAATTCAGTTATCAAAGACCTGAATAAGATCTCTAAGTCTGCTTATGATATGGCTGTTTCGGACAGACCGCCTGTCCATACACAAACTATTCGTGATTTCGCAGTCAACTGACCCAGTCCGCATAGTTAACCCCCAGTCGCTTGTACCTAGTTCGACCATATTATAATCTGCATATTACTTATATATACACTTTTATATTTGTATAGTTTTTTTTCCATTGGCGTCGTGCTGCGCGATCTTTCCGACTTAGCCAAACACGGCGTTGCTTTTCCCCTATCAGTATTTATTTTGCATCATATACAAGCTGCAGTACTCAGTGGCATCAAACAAAATACATTAAGTTAGCTGTACACGGTATAGTTTTCGATGCCAATGGTGTGTACCAGATAAGCAAGCTCGTCTAATTTTTCTACGTAAACGCCGACACTGTCCCGGTCTGATCCTATTCAGCGTGTCAGTTCAGCGAACTCTCTCTAGATGAAACACCGTTGCAATGACAGCTATTTATTCCATGTTGTGACCATGGTCATTCCGTGGCCTCCGAAACATTCGATAGCCAAGGGAGTCAAACATGTCATTAGAAAAACCAGTATCGCGTTCGGACAAGATGTACATTCTACGTTCAGAGCGGTGAATAGATTTCGCTGGAGTCGTGCCGCCATTAAATGGTTAGACCCATAGCCGTTACAGCAGTTAGATTTCATATCTTCGGTGGGTAGTGATGAAACGCTTTGAACAGTAACCATGAATTTTACTTATTCTAAAATCTGATGAAGAGCAAGAGAGATTTTTTTACAACTGTCAGGAAATATAGCATTTTTCATACATAAAAGAAGTATTCCAATCGTTCAAAGCAAATTTTTATTTTTTACTTACATTTTTTAAAAAGCTAATTTTCTGGTATTTTCATATATATATATATATATATATATATATATATATATATATATATATATGTGTGTATCTATATATACCATTGGTAGGCCGTGCGGAACATGACCTCAAAGCCACGGGTGCTGAGGTAAGAGCATAGTTACCGACATGGCGAGAAGTCCGGTAAAGACAGCCAATGGTCCGGCTAGGATTTGAAGAGTAACGTCAATTGCTGTCGGAAGCTCCATAGACAAACCAAATGCGTCGCTACTGCCGTGCTCTTTGGCATGATGCACGTGCTTTTCGCGAGCCAGACGTTCCGAACGCCAAACAACGTAAAGTAGTACGAAGAAAAGTAGAAACAGAGATAAAAATCTGAATTCCTGTTAATAAATAGGCAAGACAAAAAAAAAGAGATATTAAAAATACTATTTCATTAAAGCTACTTGTCTGGATTTAGATAATTTTTTCACTCTAAGCGACCTTTCTAAGGCTACAGTCCGGAAATGTCTACACTAACGATCCTTAAAAAAAACCCTAAGCAAAATCGGCGCTATCACTGGTGGTAACAACAGGTAGGAACGGCCACCAATAACTCCTACAATAATTAAAGTAACCTTTTGTATCGTTTACGTTCGCACAGAATAGAAAACGGCTTTGCTATAACCTGCATCCATCTAGAGATTGCTTCCGCCCGAACAAATGTAATGTCGGTTAGCTCAAAAAGCCCCTTCGGGCTGTTTACCTATTTCTAGGGCTGCACAACTTTTCTCCTGGAAGAATTTATTAAATAATGTGCCAAGCATTTCTCAGCTTGACTTTTGGCCAACGTTCGGGCAGTGCCAGCTCCGTAGAAGACGGCATGCATACTTTCGAGATATTTACCTATACACACTTTAATAGCATCCAATAGACCCAGCGTTTCCTTATTCGGCATATTTACAAACAATAAAATAGTCAGCAAAGTAACATTGGTAATATTCAATAATGTTATTAGACATGGCACAAGTTGTACTATGCCGATGGCAAGCCAAACTTCGGTGGCCAAACAATTTTGAATGACACTATCCTCAGTTAATCCAACTTCTCGCATGCCGTGAACTACTCCGCAACTACTACCGTTCCGTGAACGGGTACAGCCTTTGCAGGATCATTCTATTCTGACCTATCATCAGGCTCACAACATGAACTTTATGGGGAAGGGGCTCACATCGCGCAGCTGGGATTTTTTTGGCCACATTTTTTCTGGAACACCTCTCTTGCATATGTGGTCATCGGCGTGCGGGAAACAGACATTCTAATTTTCAAAAGTGTGAGTATTCAACTCTGATCGAGGTATCGAAAAGTTTTTTGGAATACAGATGGATTCCATCAATTTAATTAGCACACCTGCAGCCATCTATCTATAATGAAAGACTGAAGTTTCCATCCGTGAGCAAAATGATCACAGTCGTGACCCTGCGTGTCCCCCTGCGTGTTTGGTTGCTGATCTGGAAGTCTCATTTCCTGTGGTTAGTGAGCAATTTCTGCACTATACGTTTGCTAACTACCAGGAACTCGTGTACGCGAAATGTCTGGTTGCCAATCTGCGTCGCCTCCTTCGATCGTTTTGAAGTAATCAGACTACTTCCTTACTATTCAGAGAATGTCCACTGTTAAGTTAAACTAAAATAAATTCTAGATTTGTCAGCAGAGTTATCTGTAGAGACTCATATTAGATGACTGTAAAAAACATGTATGTCTTAAATCAGTGAACTTCACGGAATGTGTTACCTCGTAGAGTCGATAGCCTATCAGGGTTAATATCATGGTTGAAAATATGATAAGCAATCGCAGCAAACAGCCCACGATCAATGATGACGAAAATACCGGCGCCATAAATGAAACACCAGAAAGTAAAATGCAGCAGAGGGATGCAAAGCGTACCGCTGGGATATCACTCAGTTTTGAACGCTCCAGGCCAAACTTTAGCACCTGGTTAGACAGATATAACAAAGCAAAGTGCATTTGTACATGGATTACTGACAATTCTCTGTTAACTAATTCTAATAAGATAGAAACTTGTCCGAAAAATCTATAAACTGCACATGAAGGCTAGCAGGAAAGATGCTCACTTCACGAGCGACACTTATGTGAAGTCTCTGAGAACAACCAGGATAGAGTTCCTACAATATTCTATCATACTTCGTCACCGTTTCTTTGCACCCTGGGTTTCTGTGATCATCAACTGATAAAAATTAACTATGCAAGAATTATTAGAATAAGTTAGTGACTAAGTGAACATTGACAGTAGATGAGATATACATCTCGGATAGCTCATCGGACATCGTTTATAAGAAAAACAAAAACTCGTTTTAGTTTTAGAATATTTGAAGTTGTTTAGACATACCTTACAGAAGTGCATCATCTAAAAGAATCAACACCCTTAAAGTGATCGATCAGTATTCTTTTCCTTACCTGGATCAAGAAAACGACGGCCAGGCCTGAGAGATTTACGGTCAGAATAACGACATTATAGGGGAAACGACTGTGGTATAGGCTGGTTGATACTGTGAATATTGAGGTGATTATAAAATACGTGACGGCCGACATACGATACTCGACGGCGGCCATGAATCGGTCTTCAGCGTTAGTACTACGTTCAATAATCCACAATGTACCTGGTAAATATATCGGACATGAACGTATATGTGAACTAGAAGTTAGAACGATGTTCGGAAAGTAGATAATAATACTTCGTTTGTCTAAAACATATCAACTATTAGAGAAAACACTATGAAATGTCTGATACGTGTATATTTAAGTAGCTATGATAAATTAATAAAGTTCTAGTTGTCGATCAAAGGGCTCAATTGTTTTGTATAAGAAAAATTAATGGATTTTACCTGATAGTATGGAGAATCTATCCTATAGTGATAAATGTGCGGCTGAATAGCTCTCACAAATATAGTTGACTGATGGTCAACTGTATTTTCGAAAACTGCGTGAAGACCTCGATCATCGAGGTAATTGCTATTAAGAATCACGATCCTTTGCTGTTTATCGGACGGCTCATGGTTTTCTTAGCTTTAAAATGTTACTTTCTGATTTCCTCGTCTTCCAAGGACCGTTTTTCAGTCTGTGGATTTTTTTATTGATCTAAATATGTGGCATTTTGGCAAAGGCTGGCCGATGAACTACCTGAAGTTAAAGTTCTCAGCTTAGCTGGAAGATGCTTCCTCGTACGGCCAAAGTTATGTGTTCCGTTTAATCGTTTTGTATAAATCATTTCACAAGGTTATAGAAATTCAAATATAGGGCTCTTTCTATATCACAGGAAAAACGCGAAAGGTCTTATCTCTGTGACTATATCGTGTTGTATAAAATTTAGCTGATTGTTCCGGGCCAATTCATGATATTTTGCGCCTAAGCCTAGTAAAAACTCATCTTGCTTGGTGTCAGTAAACAATGCGATACAGAAAATAGTATTATCTTTCCTGTAGAGCTTCAACGATTTAAACTCGCTTCTAGAATCACTCCTATCTGATCAGCGAGTTCCTGCTAAATCTACACAAACTGTCCCTTCATCGACAGTGTCTGAAGCTATTCATCATGAAACCTTTGGAAATGTTTAGGCTGCCGGCCATCATCCAGCACGTCTTTTACTAAATTCTTTGCCTTTCTGGCAGCTGCAGCATATGCTCCAGAGCTACATTACTACGTTAGAACTCGGCTAGTAATCACTTGTACACATACGGCGAGCAGCGCTTCATGAAATCCTATCTCGACGTCTACTTTGTTGTCGGTGACGAATCGCCTATGCGTACCGCGTCAAGCGGTACGAAGCCGCTCAGAATTCTGGAGAATCTTTGTCTCAACAGCCATAGATAGCGTTGAAATGATTTAGACTAAATAGTTATCTATGCAAAATATATCAAACACATAGATGTCGACACTGTGCAGTCAACTTACCGCAAATAGCGCCCATTTGAAACGTGAACATGAGAAACACGTATCCTATGATGTAGTTAATTTTTTCATACATTTCCGAATCCCGCACGACACCGCTACTCGTGTTCGCTCCATCAATGTCGGCTTCTTCGAGCTTTCTCAAGAGCTCGGAGCGTGTATCCATTTCGGGAACTTGCGTCTTAAAGTCCGAGTGTCTTCAAGTCACCGATATTTCAATCACATACATGACATAGAAGGATGGTAAGGAAACATAGGATATTCAGGCGTCCGGGCGCAGCTCGTATTCGAACTAGCTATATTCGCTAGTCCACTGACGCACGTTAGTCACCAAGGGCGTCAAGCACCGTCGTCCCAATAAATGGCGATCGGACCCGAGAAGTTTGAGGCGGCAATCTTGGAGCCGATGATCAATAAGAAACAAGATTTCTTGCCCTCGGAGAGGGTCTCTTCGCCGCCATTAACGCTACCGCTACTCGTATAGTACGAGTATAGTTACGAACTTATTAGAAAATCAACGTCACACTTGGCTAGCATAGGAGACGATCCCGGACGAGCCCGCATGTTGGTGGTAGTCTTTTTTTCCCGTGGACCGATTTACATACACCAGCGTTAATGAGTATACTTATTTAGGTTTTTTTGACTGGATAGTTAAGATGACTTCTTTGAGGTGAGGCGACTAAATTACTGCTGCTGTAAGTTATACATAATTGGATAACGATTAAAGTACAATGACTAGTTGAGCAATATATTGTCTAGCCAATGCCATTATACGTATGAGTCACTCATGGGTCACAGCATATGTTCCTTAGTAGACTACAGTAGGTTTAGGGTAGGGCAATAGTCGTCACAATTGGAAAATCGTCGAAACATCTTTTATCATCGCCAAGTAGCGGACCAGGCGATTTGCTGGCGAGAATTATCATGACATGATGTAATTCGGCGGATTAGTGAGATCGTTCTAATGCTCGAATTGAAAGCCGCTGTTGCGTAGGCAACCTATTATCGAGTGACATTTACGCCGCTCGAACTCTGTGCCTCGCCTCTATAATGCCGAGCTAGATAGATAATTTGTTCCGATATAGTGTCTCCTGCCATAGACTTAAGTAAGTAAACTATTTTATCACGCTGCGAGTCTTTTGCTGTTTGTGACACTCGTACCGATGTACAGATATCCGAGTGTTGACTTTTGACAAGACCGGCATTGAACAGCATCTGATCGTTTGCTGGTCAAACGAGTTTGATACGCCACTGTTTGCCGCAATAGTTAACTAGCGGTGAAGTTGAGTTACTATTGTAGATAGATAAACAAAGTTTAACTTGAAACTTAGAACTTGAAACTTAACTTGAAACAAAATCGTTATAGTTGCAATAGAAATCACTCAATACGTTTATAGCAGCGTCGGTACGCTACACAGCATCACAGCCAACTGAGTAATACGAGTTTAACAATGACTCTTATATGTAGTAAAATACGCCTCTGCTTGTAGCTTCGTACATATTAGCTCATTGGTAGCACAAGGTTTCTGTGCTGGTAACCTATCCAATTATATGGCCGAGAGACTCTTTTAGCTATTTGCGATATCTAACTCAATATTTTAGTATGCATATTATCCTCGAAATGAGGGATTTGGTAAAATTATTCTCGGCCTGTAAAGCTCTAACTGCAATAGTCGATATGCGGCCTCTGCCTTTAGCTTATTATTAGCCTAACAGCTGTTGTACATACCCTCAACGAAACTTCTCCCTTTCAGATGACAGTGACATTTTCCAACAATACCTACGAGTAGCAAAAGTTGAGGGGTTACTTTGACCACAAGGGGGCTCTAGAGATGCTCAGCTTTGCGTTGGATTCCTACGTCTCGTTAACGCACATCCTGGTAGCTGCCACTTGTTCCCTTCTATTTATATTGAAGAGACAGCTAACTGTCTTTGCGAAAGCCTAGCAAAATAGCATACAATATCTTCTACTGTTCGATCAATTTCAGCGTTTTTATTATTATTTCAGGATTAGCTTTATCGCAACAATGGTTACGATTAAAAATCATCTCTATAATTAGTTTCGAAAGAAACAATTTTCAAAGCCGTATGACATTTTCTGTTATTAATTGTGTCAAGGAGGTGTATTTAAGGTTTTTTCTATAGTATATTTTTGTTCTGAGTGTATCGTCTCAGTAACATGCTTCTATTCAGCGGGTGGTGCCAACGCAAAGCACATGTCAAAGGAATCCTAATAATATAAAGTCGACTATATGCGGCTTTTGAAGATCGCCAACCGCTAAGCTACGCTACGAACGTCTTAGATCAACCATCGCCCCAAGGGTTAACTACGGTGTACTTTTTTACTATAAGAGGTCTTTCTATGTTGGAATGTGCTCCCGTATAGTTTTATGCTACCGTCGGTCATAAGCATTACGTGCATCTACTTATCTGTCATAGGTTCCGTACCCATCTCACGGCCATTCTTCTTACTCGCGTAAAGTGAACCAGACACGAAACTCCTTACGTAACTGTGTCAGCAGCGATTCCCAGGGGTCGAAGCGAGCGAGCGAGGACAGCCAGCCTGTATGCAACGGAAGAGTACAGCAAGGTGATAAGCGCACGTTGGACATGGAAAGCGTAAGAAAGATGTTATGGCGTTGACATCGATATGTCCGTGCTTCTTTCTTGGACTCCTATCTCCTTTGATGTCTGTTTCTGACGATATTGTAGGTGGGTGCTTACGTCAACTGTTTACCTGATGGCCGACTGTAGACTGAAAGGTTATTCAGGACGAGACCGGACGTCTCAGCTGTAGGAGCATTTGTTGGATGGATGACGTAATCGATGTTGCCGTTAGCTTGTCATGCTCTTTGGTACAGCTTATCCGGACTGATTGGTTACAGGAATGCAATGCTTGCAGCTTCTGCTGCTGTAACCGATGGTAGAACACCGAGTGAATCTTAACGGGCAGACAGGCGGGTAGCAGTTGGGCGGAAAAGGCTTAGTGGGTTAGTATGACCGTCCGGTAAAACGAACCGAACGAGAACGCTTTCTCTAGCTTTTTTTTTGTGTTTTGCAGGAGTCCTTGCGGCCAGACTTTGGATGGTGATGGAGATGGCTTGCCCCCTGATAGGACCGCTGCGTCGCTAAGCTAGTGGTATACAAGTTGCATCAAGCGCAGGCGAAGTGTTGTTTTGGTCGGTGTCCTCTGGTCGGTTGAGGTTCGACGTTACCCGTCTAGCGCTGGCTAGTTGCTCTCACTGGCGGCTCATTCCTCGTCTCTCGTTCATTCCGCGCACCCAGCGTTGCCCAGCCAGTAGCGCTGGGTGCTCTTTAGTGGCTCTTGGTTGTAGACAGCTTGCGCCCGCCGATGCTCTATGCCGAGCTGACCACATCTGGCCATGTTCTCAGTGGACCGACCGCCGTTCAGTTGGCGCTACCCGGCCCTTTGCCTCCCATCTATCTATCTCGCTGTCTCTCTCTCTCTTTCGTACTTTCGGTATCGCAGCTCGGTCTCACCCCATTCCCCATTTTCCTCAGTACACACACATCTGGCGGACGGACGGCTGGCTGACCCGAGCCGAGTCGATCCGATAGTCGGCATCACTACCACTGTTACCGTCCATGAGTCGACCCCGCCGCCGGCCAAAGTACCGTCTCAAATTTCACCTCCCACATTGGGGGTGCGCCAATCTGCGAGACGCACGCCATGATCACCCCCGGCATGTCCATCTATCGTGGGGCGCCTTCAAGTCTTTGACGGCCATAGTCCTCTTGCCATCAGTAGCTTCCCTGCCATTCACTGGCCACCGTGCGAAAGGCCTTCTTCTAGTCCTTCCTGCTTGAGGTTGGACAAGGCCCTCTGACGGTAGGATCGTCGAAAGAAACAGATCGAGGACATATGCATTTGTATCAGGTAGATGAAAGACGGATCATTATATACTTGGGTACGCGCTGACATGAATTCACTTTTTAGATGCTGTTAGTAGACAGCACGCCATTTTATACATGCACACAAATTAGCTGAGGAAAGAATTTCGTAGGGAAAAGAGACGCTTCGTGATGCGAGGAAGTGACAAAGAGTTATACCAAAAATAAGAATTAAGTACTTAGCCCTCTATCAATTTGAAATACATACAATCTACAAGTTTACTCACAATTATATTTTTATTTATTTTACTAAATGTCGTGCGAATTTGAAATGTTGTATGATTTCGTCGGACATAGGTTTGACGGCAGTGGAAAAACATTGCACCTATGGAGGAAACGTAAATTTTAGCCGCTAATAAATGAGCGAACGAGGATTGAATAACATCAGAAATGAATCCCGCAAAACTGTAAGCGCCCTTGCAGTTAATCTTCTGGTTATGAGGAAGATTCAAAAATATCGAAGACCTTTACGTGTCTCTAATCAAAGTTGATAGCAGGAAACAGCATCGTGGAGTACTAGAACAGTACGTTCTTCGCAGGTGATTCATGTCACGTGAAGAGCCTATGGTTGTGAAGAAAATTTTGGATAGCGATTTAGAAGACGGCAGTATATGTTCCAGCCACTTTGGTAGCTCAAAGGGTGATAATCACAATAGCAAATCTGAAAATGTCACTGTCCTCTCCCGTTGAACGACACGAAACGATACTATGTACCAATGCATTCGTTTGAACAATGAACCTGATATAACTCGTTTACAATAAAGATCGGAGCATTTCTTCTGCAGAGATTTACAAGGCTAATAGCAAACGTTGCCCAATTTGTTCGAAAGCACTTGCGTAAAAATCAGATAACCACAGTGACGTTAACAGCCTGTAGCTCGATTTTTGTAAATTATGCATTGACGGGTATCTTATCGGAGGTGTAAGAGGAGACCTAGGATACCCCGTTTGTCCTCAACCGGGCCAATTGAGCCGAAGGGGTTTAGTGCGTATCGCACGAGCATAACTACCGAATTTTCCGGCCATGATATAGAGGAATGAACAGAATCGCTTGTGGGTACTTCCCCATTTTCTCTGAGGCAATATCACACCCCGTAAAGAGTCAAACAAGGAAGCTAACAACGTGTCCTCATCAGTTCGGCCAGTATTGCATCATTAGGTATGTCCCAGGTCACGTAGAAGACGTGGCAAGCCCGGTTCGTTGCAGAACGATTAGATATATTGCATCCTTACTGTGCGATTAAACCAGTTTAGAAGAGCAGGACGCGTATTGCAATGACAATGAAAACAAATATCTACATCAAAATTGTAACTTTTATCATGTAATAACTCTACTCTAGTTATATTACATTCTAATCGGTCGTTAAGAAGTGAGCGAAACTGTTTACCAACATATTTATCCCATACATATTAATCAAACGTATTCCATCGATGTACGGTTTTTGCATTCTATTCAGCATGTAGCAACGCGTTGTGCAATATAGACTTTTCTTTTACATGTTTTTTTTTATCTATTGAGATGAACATATAACAGAGGAAGTGTACGTCAACGTCATGCTACCTCTGAGTTTTTAAATATAAAAAAAATTAATTGTTATACATACATTAAAAAGTGAAATCTTTATTAACTTAGAACTTTGAAATGGGTCAACATTTTTTATGTGCACAGTACTAGATTTATAAGTAATAATAAGCGGGATAATAAATATCGTTCGCGTCCAGCAGGTTGTTTCAAAAGGAAATTTCTGAAAATTTTTAAACGGTGATAAGTGTTGCTCACTGCCGGAGATGGATGGCATTTTAATCGAACCTGGTAGCCAAAACGCAAACAGCTATCTTCGAAAATTGCAGAATAATCTTACTTTTAACAGGCTAATTCATCCACGCATCTTATGGCAGTTGTTATGTGTAGCAAATGTTAGTAACGAGTGAAATACTGACAGTTGTGACATATCTGTCTAGTGAGAGAAAACGATCCATAGTGCCAGCAGTCCGTATCCCAATACCACCAATACACCCAAAATGAAACATGGACCCAAAAAACAGCCCCAAGTAATATTCGTTAGAATAACTACAGATAGCAAAAAAGACGCAGGCACATAGACGTGTGATTCATACAGGAAATGCACTCTTAGCTTCTGTAGTGGGAGACGTAAGTTCGAATCCGGGTAAAATCCGGGCGCGGTGGAAGCTATCTTGATGGAATGCCTAACGGCGATGTCGGGCGTAAAATTCGAAACAGAGAGGCGAACGTCCGTTGATCACGGGTACTTGCATCGAATAGGTTCCTTCCAAATAAAAAGTTGAAAAAGATACCTATAGCGACACATTTACTCGACACTCGGGGTCAACGAAATGACGCAACGTACAGATCGAACCCGTAACCCTGTTACGGTATCTTCCCCATGCGACGGCTACGATATATAGACGACGAATTTCTATATTGTCTTTTGTGTCAATGGCTTATTTCCGCCGAACTAAGCTTTCGGCTACCCGATCAAGTAGGGTGCTGATAGCTGTGTGTTACGAACGGTGCTGGAGTTCAATGCGATTTAATGGAAGCGCTGTTCCTCAACTTTTGCGAAACACCGAAGACCTATCTATTGGAGAAACATCGAAATCATTGGACAGTGTCTGCGATTTTCCAGATTCCATATTAGTAATGGCCGTCGTTTTTGCGACGTCGACACCGCCTAGACGATTTTTTTCTTCAATATTCCGTTTAAAATGGTAGGAAGTAGTGTTACATTTAGAAAACGACAAGCGTTTTGAATCGTATCTATCAATAGACGATTATATACAAAAATGTAGAAGTAATAACCGGGTATAGAGCAACCAAGGCCAGACAGGTGGGTCGTTTATTCAACCTGGTTATATGCATCCAAAGTAATATAAATTGCCTTTGAATGAGAGTTATTGTCTAAACAATATTGAGGGTGATTCGTGTATTCATTCATGAACTATCATAGCTGGAATAACTATTGAGGATTAGATTCGTGCTGACTTTACGTAATCAAGTCTTGGTAGGTGAATCAGGCAATAAACAGTATCCGTTTAAACAAAATACCTGTTAGCAGAAGCAGGACCCTTCATTTGGACGAACCTTGTCTGATCAACGAGAGTGAAGTTCCATAGCAATAGAAATCGGCCTATCAACACTTCACAGATCAATGCAAAAATTCTGAACATTGTTTGTCGAAATTCTCTCCTACTTGCGCGTCGAAGCATTTACCGGGTGCGGTGTTAATTCGTATTGATAAATGCTACAAATCGTGCATTGACGGGCACATAAAAGAGCAGGCATACGGATTGCTATGCCCCTATTGTCGTAGGTTAGACCGATAAATTCGCATTATACGGTCAAGCAAGGAAATGACAGCTGGTGAGTTCAGCATCATCAGCTCATCGAGATAATGCTATTCCTGCACGAAGGCTTCAGTGAGCTCGCATTAGTGCTAATTTCAGTCGATCGTAGAACCACAATGACAGTTAAGTGCCGTTAATCATCATGGGCAAAACAATTTTGGAGAGGCGCGAAGGATAATTTGCGTTCACGGTTTTATATGCGATACGAAACAGCAGGCAGAGCTTGGCCTGTTACATGACGAGTTGCCAAGTGATGAATGGAACTACTGCAGTAGCCTGTTTTCGCTACAACGAACAAGGACACACAAAAAAAGCGAAGATTTCAAAGTCAAAACTGACGGCGCTACTAATTCGACTTTATGCTTGACGAAACCCCGCAACTAGGAACATAATTACGAAACATAATTCGTTTATATTTCACGTGTTGAGGAATAGCGTAACGCTAAACAGTGGATAGCCCTTAGTAAACCCGAACGACTTTCTATTAAACTCTCTGTTATCAGAAAGTAAACACTTCAGGCTCGGCAGACTGATAAAAAACCGGCTCCAGTTTCGACGATGCACGATGTCAAAGAGTGGGCTCGCTCAACACCAATAACGTCCTGGTTTCGCAGGTCGATTCAGCCACCTTCCTGAACTAAAGTCATTACCGGGGCCCGCCGCAGACTTAGCAGTTAGCGCGATGTAATTGACCCAGCGTAAATACGCAACTCACAGGTAAGTCGATTTCTAACCGCTGCAGGTTATCGACGTTAGGCTTCGTTTCGATGCCTGGGCATCAAAGTCGTATTGCACGAGGTCCATTGCCCAGTGAATCAACTCGGAAACAAGGAACATTGTAATTTTGCAGGTATTAGAGTGTACTACATTGGAAAGCTTGTCAACTGAAGAGCGCGTGTAAGTGTTTCAAGCAGTGCACTTCCCTCTTCTCTGCGTAGAGGTAGATGCCATGAGCAGAGACCCCTAGGGCGAAAACCTTCTTGGAAAGTGAACAAACTTTGGGAGGGGGACTGGCAGTACTAACGACAGAAACTATCTGCCGAAGGTCTTCCAGCGTCAATACTGCCAGTACTGTTTTCGATCCTATCAGGAAACACTATAAAATAACCCAAGTAATGCAAATTAGTCGCAGTGGCTGGTCGTGACGTTGTTTGACTCTCCAATTGGCAAGCAAGCAACCAAGCAGGGGAGAATGAGGCTATAGGAGAGAGTGGAACGCTTCGTTTTTATCTAAAAAAGGTAAGATTTTGATGATTTCTAAGACGCACGAGGGTCAGATATACTCTTTATGTGGGGCTACTTTTTCGTGTACCTCATCGGCCTTTCGTTAAAAATGAACGAAGCAAAACTCAGTTTGGAAATATATGGGCAGTTGATGATCATTTTGTAAAGAACATATAGTAGCCACATAGCAAAATTGACGTTGGTATGTATTTACAAACAAAGAGTATAATTAACTTCGTAGAAAATTATATAACATATATTTTTCCAGCTATTGTAGCTCATGTCGTTTCTGTCAACGTATCGTACTTAGTAGTTATTGATAGGACGACTTCATTAGCATGATGTATCGTTTAAGTAACGCATTATTGTCGACCCACGGAAAAAGATCACGATCATAAATTAGAATTTACTATAATCTGTCAACTAAAATCTATGTCTAACTATACGGGTTCAGTGCGGTCAAATTAGCATCGAAGAAATTGTCCCATATCGAACCCAGTCCGTTTTGTCGACACACTGGTGCTTGTGCCATTCAGAATTTAACTTTATTCTGTGTAGCAAAACTTACAAGTGAAGACAAGTCATAATCTTAGCTTAATTTAATAGAAAATTATTAGAACTTTCTAGCCATAGTCACAGCAGTGTCTTTGAGACAAAAAAAAAAAAAAGCATAAAAGGCCCATTGACTAATATACGAGTTTAGACTCATTCTCTCAACGATAACGGCAAGAAAATGTAGGACATACCTTTTATAATTCTTTTCATTTAAACCTCACCCTTTAACTTTAAGACGTTTGTAGGCAATTACCTCTTAGGAATACTTTGGTCACTGATGCCCGCAGACCAAATGTTTTTCGCTGTTTGTTGATAGGCTTTATGGTAGAGCTGCAAAAACGAACGAACGGTACGCGTTTTACCCAAGCGATTGCCACTTTTCGAGAGAAAGGTCGACCAGCTAACTCAAAAGAGCTAGCTGGTCGACCTTTCTCCCAACTCACTCGACCCGCTTGGATAGAACGTATGTGTAATACAACCATGACGGCTACGTGAGAGTATGCACAGAATATTCGACCTTCTTTCTCCGTACAGCTTCGCCATACATGATCGCGCTAGTGAAGATAATTTAGAGTATAGCGACAACCACTCGTACTTGCATCCATAGAAGGCATTCTCAAATCGAGCGGATGGCCTTAGCATCTCGCTCTCGTCAAAGCCAGGTTCTTGCTTCCGACGCCTGGGAACTTTTCACAGGCGCGCTCAACCTTGACGGGAAGCATCTTCAGCGAGGAATCCCGGCAGCATTACTGTTCGATTCTTGCCTTGATAACTCCCCCTTACAATAACAGCACCCTCTATCCAACGCCCTCATTCTGTCTGTTGTTGGGAGGCTGATGTTACCAAAATCTTCGAGTTATAATCGCGTCGGCAGCAACAAAAAGAACAGTTGGGGGTGGGAGATTCAGCGAGAGGTGTATTAAGAAATATGCCATTTATATTCAAAGTGAATGGAAGCTAAGTTGATAGGCGAAATCGTTACATCAATGGCTCATGAATAAGTCTAGGGGGTTGCCACAACTATTTTCTACTGGACAGACGGTCCGTCGTTGCAGCGAACTGAACAGTGACGTCAATATCGTTGATACGGTCCCATCATAGTAAAGCAGGGGGTGATCGTGTACTTATGTGTAAACGACATTCAAGAGTAAGAAACTGAAGCAATCGGCTTTTGGTGTGATCGGGCCCGTAAAGATCAGCCATGCGCATCGAACCAAGCTTGTACCTTCCCAGCTTGAGCTCAAATTGGTAATCTAAATAGAGTCAAATGGCACTAATACCACATATGTGCAACGTATCTGTGTCCCACGTGTAATGGGTCTGGTTTGAACAAGCTTTCTATTCCCAATAAACGCCTAAGCAAGCTGAATAAAAAATGTGCTTAATTCAAAACTGGTTTGGGGGCTACTATATGCAACCCGTAATTGTTACGTCGGTTTTTAATACATTTTAGAAGTTCGGGCTGTAGCCTAGCTGAGTTTACTGTGGCCAATGGCGGCAATATTATGAGGTAAGTGTACGGTTGGAGAATATGGGATGGAGATTGTATTAGAGAGTGCAATAGTTTGTGGAAATCAATGAGAAGCTATGGATTAGAAAGGTCGTTAGTAGAAATTTCGGAAAAGTTGGCGTGGACCAATACGACAGGTAGGCGTGTATATTCATACTGCGACGTCAAGAAGGCACGCTTCCTCAGGCGTCTAAGCGTGCAAGTCATCAATCATTGCTATGCCAGTGACAAAACTTCATAGCTGTCATCTTAAAGGTTTGGGTATGCTTACTAATTAGGATTGAGCCGATGAGTTTCATAGGAAAGTTGATAGCTTATGAAAACTTGCAAAAAGGCCAGAAAGGAAACCGCAGACGTCTATAATATACTTAAACTAGATACATTTGGTGTTGTTTAAGTCAGTTTCTATCTTTCCCTACACTATAAAGAGCACTCGACATTAGCCTTCAACAGATGTTAGCTCTTATTCCTGTTATACGGCCTTTGTGTATTTAGGACCCTTGTCGTGCTATGCCTTGCCTGAACTGAAATTTCGACTTGAATTGTAAAATACACAGCTCAAAGTATATGATTTAATTGAGGTAATCATTCAGCGAAACACGAAATCGATAGCCCGTTACCTTACGATGGATGGCTCGTCTAGCTTTACCATGGATCTCATTTGAAGTCAGGCGAAGTAACCCTTGGATGTCAGTGCAATCTTTGCTTCGACCGGTTATTCCTCTTTAGTTTACTTACCGCTAGTGATACCTCCAGCTAAAATGCGAATACGCTTTTCTAAGCCTGACAAGATCATTCGCTGTTTAGTATGGCTTGTTTGTGCTATTGGCTTCCTTTATCAAGGTGGTGAAATGGTGAGCATAAATATAACTGCGACTATTTTTCCTATCAAATACGCGTTTTATTCATTGTAGAACAAGCATTGTATTTATATGTAGTGCATGACCGTATCGGGCTAGGGGCCCCATTTTGGGTAAATGAATCCATCTTACGGCCCCAGCGATAGTAACGGCGCGGTGCTAATTTAGGTTATAATGTAAATTGATTTTCTTTTTGCTTTCAAATCATTAAAATTTATAGATAAAGATAATTTCGCGATAGTTATTCATCATTCCTTAGGTGGTGTATGGGTTATTTTGTCGATTTTCTCGTTCTATGACCTTTCCTTTCATTTTTTGCTAATTATTTTCATTAAAGCGTAATGAAAATGAATTTTCTCAACAGGTGGCTATATACTTTGAGTATCCCTTTACGGTGACGATGATTGAAGAAGTTCGCAAGAATATCCTATTTCCAGCTGTAACAATTTGCCTAAGCCATTGGTACGTTCATTTGAGAGATACGTTTCTCATGGGTGTAGCCATTCCGCCATAGTGAAAAATTAGAAAACCCAGCAAGGACAGACGTCAGACCAGTCAACGTATTTACCAACCAAACGGTGTTCCCAGCGGGTACACATTTTCTCCATACCATACAAATCTATTACGCTTACGTTAGTTCGTCCGAATGGCACGTAGCATGTATCAATATGAATGATCTAAGAAGTCATTCCTAGCGTAAAATAAAAGCATATTGGTGCTATGGACAAAAATATAACTCGTTTTATCACTACACGACTCTGAAGGAAGTTCAAAACCTTTTTTTTTTTTTTTTTTTTTGTTCAAAACATAGCTTAAATAAGAGAGGTACGTAAAAATAGCTAGAATGAATAAGTCTAGCTGGCTTCAGACTGCCTTCGGTAGGGTTTGATAGTCAATTGTTGTCTTCTAATTGGGTCAGAGTAATAACGCACCGTTCAAGATATTACGTCCCAGGACGACTAGATTCTAACAAAGTAACATCCTAATAACTGGTTCGATTAAACTAACGGAGAAAATCGTGAAAAACAGAAATTGTATTAAAGCGCATGTCATTGTACAATGTAAAATATGTCCCGTAGGATAGATACGGTCCGTCTTTGTAGGGCTCGACGTGAGAGCTGTCATGACGTGAACGAGCTACTCCTACCAAGTGGGCATAACAAATTTGAGTGGGACGTTAAATCTCGCCTGTCTAGCGCACACTCACCCTCCGAGCTGCTCAACTGTTTTATGAGGTGGGTAAAAAATAAAAAAACCTATTGAATTTGAGTTTTTACCTACTAACAAATATATACTTGTACATATATATATATAAACAAACATTGTATCATGTCATAGTAATAGGAATGCCACAGTAAGCACTACTTTAGAAGCAATAGCGATGACAGCGTTCCGATCCTCAATGCATTCTCTCTCTTCCTCCCTGTGTCTTTCTACTTCTTAATTCTTTATTGAACACATTAATTATATTATTGGAAACGATCTTGAGTGTCCTCGATAGCGAGCGGTCCGTTCTTCTTCTTCTTCCCCTCACTCATGTTTCCTTCTCGTCAGAGGCGGACACCGCGTGCGGTCTCCTTGGCCGGCTAGGTAGATCCTGCGGTCGATGACTGAGGATGATTCTGAGCGACGGAGCGCACGAGAATCTGTGCTAACTTGAATCGTTTCGTCGTTGTTTCTTATTCGCTGAGCCTCAATGCGGTCCTCCTTTCATTTCGCTCACATTATCCGTCTCATTGTGTACGGTGCTATGCGTCGTCCTGCGATGATTCCTGATCGCCACCGTTGGTCGTGATTTGTTTCATGATCACTTTTTCAGGCCGAAGCGCTTTCGCGAGAGTAGGTGCCATTCGCTCAACCAGTTGTTGGACTGCTGAACAGATAAGGCAACCAAAACCGCGTCTTCGGCAATACAGCCTATTTGGCCTGAGTCAGCTGGCACGCGGGCCTAGCATACTGTTGATCTGGAGGCTAGGGCGCCAGACAAGCTTACTGCCGATAGCTAGGAACGCAACAGCGGAAAACCTGCGTACATACGCTGTGGACGAATGAAAGCTTTGAACGAAATGTCTCGCCTGCTCGTCGAGGCCAGTAGAGCCGTTGTAACTATCAAATTCGGCCGATGTAAATGGGATTGTTTTTTTCTTTGCTATTACTGTTATTAGCTGCAAAAAAGAAATAGACGGCTCACATATGGACCTATGAAACGCTTATGGTCGTGCTGGAATGAGTGGCGCTTTCGCGAGTTACGTATGGCAGTTGATTAGACTATGGTAGGCGCTAGAAGCAATGCGTGTGGGTACCAAGATGATCCTTTGACTCGTTTAATCCGACGTTGTAAAGTTAAGGGCATTGACTTGCACTGCGAGAATCAAACAACACAAGCGTATCATAAGGTTTATACGGTGAACGCTCTAGTCTTCTTCAAAGATACCACAACAATGACGGATAAAAATGAAGAATAATTGCTTTGCTATCGAGGTACTGCTTTTCCAAATAGGATGCGTCTAGAGCCTGGTCCGGAGCGAATAATCGTCCGATCGATCAAAAATGCAGGTGAACGTTCAGCTGACTTCATTGTATCATTTGTCATGAGTTTATAAGTACATAGACACGCATCGATGGCAAGTGTTGGCACACGGCGTGTACACCCTGCAACACCACACGAGCCGTATACGTATGTGAGCCGTATTGCGTCATAATAAAGGACGTCTCAGTATTTATATGTGTTGACATTTAATTAGGTAGAGTAATTTCGTTCGTGTGTATCTTCGGCCAGGTCGTCGGTGTCCTCGTGTGATTCTTTCGAATGTCAGGCGAACATAGAGATGACCTACTTCCGATTACCGTCTCAGATGTGCTACACGATCGATATGTACCGGAAACTAAATAACAATGTTAACCATCCAATGAGCTCGTGTCAGACACCTTGGAATTACGGTGAGCTAACAAACACCGAACTAGACAGTATACATATGAGCTACCTGACATTATGTTCAATTGGGTATTCTCATTATCCCTAAAAATTATATTTATACTAAATCTACTATTTTCTTTCCTATGAGCATGCTACAAATAACATATGACAAAATCAGATGTTACATTCGGTCTGCACCGAATAAACGAACGAACTATTACCGATTAGCAGTTCGTTATACGAGTGATACGGAGGTCTTTTTATTTAATGTTTACTCCAGCATGTCTCAATAACTACCAGGAAATAATCCACTTCGCAGATTTAACTGTCTCTGGTCAGTGGAACCCGAACACGACATGGAGTCTACGCCAGGGAGACACGCTGCCATTAATTATCCATGAACCACTAATGGTGCCCCCGGAGAGGCTTTCGTCAATCATGATTGAACCTGGTAAGCGGCACCTCTATCCGTACTATTTGACAAAACTTGTCTTCCTCTAGATATACATCGTATATGATTAATTAGCACATGACCTTTATGCAGCTTGAACTATTATAAACAGTTGACAATATATACAAAGACTGTATTTCGCCATTTGAATCTTTCAAGATACATCAGGACACATAAGTTCTAAGCTCACGTTATATTCTATAGTAGCGCTTGTATCGGTGGTTGCTTTCGGGGATTTTCAGGTATGGATTACACGATCAGCGTGACACAAAACAAAATTCGTCGCTTACCAAAGCCGTATTCTTCCAAGTGCGTCGATTACCAGAAAATAGGCTTTAAAGACACCTTCTATGGATTTCTCAACCTGGATGTGAGTTTGCTACAACACATTAATCACGTAATGTCATTACGAAAGGAACTAATGTTTGATTATTATGGCATACGCCTTTTCTAATTATTATCACGATAGGTTCCTCTGCAAAGGTCGCTATTTTTTGGTTTAACATTATGAAATAAGATTTGATCACTAGGGGGGACTCGATTTATCTCTGCCAGTTTTTCGAATCGCTCTTTGGCTGATGTGTCAGAATAAAAAGGGTCCAAAAGGCCATATGTAAGAATAATACCTAATCACGTGTCGGAGAATCGTGGCCGTACATAGGCCGATTACCGTTTAGGCAAATCTGAGCGAAATGTCTTCGTCCATTAATGCTTTATTACTTCTACCGAATAAGCCCATAAACGTAGATTCACTTTCTTCTTCCACGTCTAGCCCAACGTTAGGGCAGGTGTGCATCGCTTGTTAGGGGCAGTAATGTATCTCTTACTTACTCTCGATCCACTTCAGCTGTGAGATCCATTAGATATATTTACATATTTTAGGAGTAGAATCTTTAGATTTGCAGAATCTTCATTTATGATGACTGTCCGTTCAGTGATTGTTAATTATCCACGTAAACCAGCAGTAACAGCTACTCAAACATCTGTATTAGTTTTAACAAGGCCCAATGGATCTTGTCTAGTCCGCCATCTCCCCTTTTCTACTTCAACGGGTACCGCCTTTGACTGACATCCCGTTGTTTTTAGGCTAAGCACTAAGGCTGCAAGCAAGTTGGCATCATACCCTTTACGCGTGGCGGGCATTTCCGTCCGCGCTACGATTGCTGTACACAGACATGCTGTTTCCGCTGTTCGGTTGCAAAGAGGGTATAAGAGCGTTATCAGGAGAGGCAGAATATGAGAAATTCAATGAGAGTGATAATCATATTTTTTCCCATCCAACGGCAATAAACATCACAACATCGTGAAGAGCTGCAACAAATAGCGAGCACACAATCAAACCACAATACGACCGACTACGGCTGAAGCGAGTGTATGGCTCCGAATGTCGATCCCCCTCCCCCTGTTACCCCAACACCGACAACTATTCTGTTACCCCTGACAGCAATGGGTGCTACAGTCCATAGGTAGTCGCCTAAGATGACGATGATGGTGTCTACTTCGAGTCGAAGTGTATGTGTGAACGTATGTATGTACACAGGTACTGGGACGTATGAATTTGCTGTGCTGCACAAAACGTTAGGCCGGGATGGGCCAACCGGGGCAGAATAGGGGATGTTGCCTGCCTCGTTGCTGCGTGCTCTATGTCTAACCGACCCATTCTCGGTATGGGGTGACGTGGGTCGCCATTGCCGTTTGCTTTATTGTTATTAGCATAGTGCAGATAGATGTGCGGTCGGCGCTAGTCGCGCATCGAGCAGCAGAAACGGCTATAGCGAGCGCATTACAAGTGAGTAAAACAGGCAGGAGAGCGTGAGAGCACAACGGCAGAGGTCGACCTAGGAAAAAAAAACAAGGAAAAGGTGAGGAACAAGGAACAGAGCCCTTCTAACTGAGTCTAGGCCTGTGACGGTCTGTCCGTTTATTTGTATACGAGACCGTGTGGGCTTGCACGATGCTGGCCTTCTTTGTGCCTGCTTAACACGTACCCATACGACGAGAGCGGGGTTGGTTCATCGAAACGGCGAGAGAAAAGGAAACTGTATGGAATACCAGGAGACGATAGTAATGATGAGAGACGGGATACGACGACGACGACAATGCCAGGCCCTATTCACTCTGTACTACCGCTGCCACTGTTGCCGAAGACATCAACGTACAGTGGCATCCATGGCCAGCCAGTCGTGCCTAGTACGTAGTATACGGGGAGCGAGCGCAGGTGCAAACTCGAGAGTGCAGGGGTTCCAACGCACTTTTTTGTGTTCATGTTTGTCTGCGTGTGGCCGGGTGACGGGGTTACCTGCAGGTGGCGACTAGCAGATAACAGCCAACATAAAACATTCCCCGACGTCACAGCCACAATCAGCTGCACGGGAATAAGTGCTGTAGACTGAGAAGAAAGGCAGAAACGATGTAGATAAACAATGGGCAACGAACGTATTCAACAGCCTCTCGTTTGCTCTTTATGAGCTGTTGTCCTACTCCCGGCTGAATCGCCCGTTCGCTGCTGACCCTCCGCCGCGTCCCCACATACCTGTCGGCATAAACCATCTTGCTCTATTACAGTAAATCTATAGAACGTATACTTCTACAAATAGACTTGCCTGTAGTGCAGCATAAAATCCTTAATTAGTTAGTCACGCTTAGCTAATTTATAAAGGCAACAGGTTATGTTCGACGTCATACACGGTGCTATAATTTTAGCTTTACTTTGACAAAGAGCACATTGTGAGCGCCAACTATCCTGAGTATTGACGTAGTATTTACTAAGAGGTAGGCCTAGTAACTCACTGCGAAACGATCCCTTGCGGACGTAGCAAATTCAAGTCGGCAACGGCGACTTCAATGACGTTTATACTGTTTCAGCTCTGTATCCAAGAGTGTCGCATGGAAATCGAATTGAGGCTATGCGGGTGCGTTCGAACCGTCAATGAATTCGCGCATCGTTTTCAGGGAGGAGTGCATTTTTGCGACATGGCTCGAGACGGTAATTAGCCGGTGATGCTCTGACTTCAAACTTCAAAGTAGACATAAACTCGTTTCATATTAGTGCGAGATGTGGCAACGCAACTTATTTTTATGTGTTCCCATTTGACGGCCGGTCTATTGGCCGTCCGATATATCAAAATAGCTTTTACATAATAGAATTATTCCTTTCTACTTTCTATATATAATTATACTTTCTAGTACTTGAGACTGGAAAAGCACAGACTTAAGCTCTGCATTGGTATCTTTTACTTAAAGAGATGTGTTCGCGGACAACTGCAAGTGTTCCGGGAGTCTATGCCAAATGTGACAAAAAATGCGAGGCGCCGTGCGAGTAAGTATTTCACAAATGTGTCGATGGGCGAGATCTACGCTCGAAGCATGTTTTTCCATATATTTTTCGAAGCAGTCTATTTCTGCCTATGGGCACCATACGATCAGGCCATTTCAACTAGCTACTTTGCTTATTTGACTTATTCGACGCCTTTCAGGGAGATCATCTACGACGTACGTTTAACATCGTTTGCAGAAGACAAGTCCGAAAATAGCCGTAAATCCTTCCGTTACACCGTGAAATTCGCTTCATATTCACAAAAGGTATTTAGCAAATTGAGGTATAGATGTCTCTTTTAGTCTGTTCTATAGGCACAACAACCGTTAGATAGGGCGCATGTCGTTAAATTGTCCAACGCTATTTAGCGCACTGGAACATTTGAGTAACTTTTAAGTTATATAACCTGTACCAATGATCCTTTGGTGTATATTGAATACTTTTTTTTATCGTTGATGCATTAGAGTAAACGCAACATCTGCTTGTAATTCGCATTGCCATACCTAATCCCGTTATCGATTGCTCAGAGCGTCACGGCACCTACTCTCTCCTTTAGAATGGAAAAGATGGAAGCAGCCGAAATTACACAGACCTAAATCAAGAAGATATGGGGCCTGCAGTAGTCGCTCGATTGTGTTTTCTTTAACTCGGACCGTGACTAAGGCGCGGAGCTGACGTTGTCTAGTGTTGCCTTCGAATAGCCGCACTTTGCCATGCGACCGTTGTATTAACGGACACTTAACATGGACGTTATGAATATCAGCATCAGCTTACGCCCGAATCTACTCTGCACTGCCACCGCCATCCTCTTACTTGATCTCTGTTTGACTGGGGGGTCAGATTCACTCATGCTTCATCCACGACGGGCGGTGTGCCCCAAACGGGCTTTCTGCTGGTAATAATTACCCGAGTTATTTTTAAAGTAAGGTAAACACGGGTTTATACCTTGGGCTCTTGGGCTCAGTTTGTGAACAATCTACTTTTCTGTTTCCAACGTTTTCATTACAATTTGGTAATACGTGCTTTGAGGGACCCTCATTGGGCCGACAGGAATCGCATTGTCCGTGCTCGGTTTCAATTAAAAAGTTTTGCGATAACAGCAGCTTTGAAACTTAAAAGGTGTACTCGTTTTCTTTGCAATCTAAGACCTTCGAACTTCAATTCCTATGTGATAGCACCAATAGCCAACGTTTGGTTTGCTGAAGGCCTTTTTACTTAATGCTTTAATCAATGTTCGACGCGTCACTTTTAACAACTGAGCGTTGATTTTCGGTATTAAATGATATCTTTGCCTCCGAACTCATTATTCTCTAATGACAATCAACCAGCTCATAGTTATAGATACCCGCAGACATAACGTAGATGTTCGTCTTCTAGTAGTGGGGATTTAAAAACGATCTTATTTCTTTTTCTTAACCCCCTCAATAGCGCTGGACGAGTTGGTAAATTACCAGCGAGTATCCTGATATACAATAGTTTTGGTAATAGATAGTTCATATTCTAGATACATGTAACAGTATTTCTCCGTCTGTTTGTGCTCAATCAGAAAGGGACGCCGGTGAAAGCTTGAAGAAATATTCCATTTTTTTTTTTTTGCCTGTTCTTTCGATTCGCTTGCATCACCGTGTGTCACTGTGTGCTATCTAATGTAAAGTGATTCATAGGAGCATTTCATCAAAGTACAATAGTACTTCGTTTCATTTCTTGTACTTCCGTCCGGTACGTTTCCTTATCAGATACTTGAGTACCAACCGACCTTGTCAATCGTCGAGATGTTCGGGTGCATGGGCGGGTACATCGGAATATGGCTTGGATTCTCCCTGCTTTCAGTGCTTCTTGGACTAAATGAGCTTCTATGGAAGTTGCACAAACAACGGCACCTTACGACGAAAATGTATGTGTCTAGCTGTGTCAAACCGGAAATACTCGACATAATCTACAGTATTATGTAGCAGAGAACGCACATAGTAAAAAATAACTCCATTTATAGTTGTTAGGTTCTATCAGTAAGAGCATTTTCGATTACCGATTCGCCTGAAAACGCCTTCCCATGCTAGACATTGTTGCGAACTTTTCAGTGTCCAACTTACATCGGCAATAGCAACAGTTGCGTCTACAACAGAAACAGAAGATCGGAAGACCACTTCGCGGCCTGCCATAGATAAACAAACACAACACGTCAAGCTTTTTCAGCTGAAGAGCGCAAGTGGCCCCCAGCTCGTTTATCGCTGAAAAACATTTTAAAAAAATGAAGCAATTTATTCAGTAGAGTGTAAAATGTGTAGTCTAGGCGAAAAAAAAACCAGCGTAAATCAATGTACTGATAGAGTGAGGCATTGTTCAGATCTGTAAGTGTTATCAACTTGGCAAAGGTCTGTTAAACTATATATATAGTATAATAGTTATATATATATATATATATATATATATATATATATATATATATATATATGTATCTGTTAGACTATTGCAAGCGAATCTAGCTCACTTTGAAGGCAACTTTTAAACTAGCTAGGTAATAGGAAATGATGCTTTTCTAATATATGTTAGAAGTACTTTCCCTTATTGTTTACTTACTTGTTCCAACGCATTGGCAGCTTCTAGCTATCATATACCGACCGCCGCGCTTCAATATGTAATTTTTCTATAAATACGCGAAGTAACTAGACGGTACAATATGCTTGCTAACCAATTCTTCTTCTTAGAGTATAGAAAGCCCTGTAATTACACGGACTCAGGTCAGGACAAGGAACGGGTTGAAGCCAATGTTGAATATTCCTTTGCCTAATTCAGGAGGATGCTATTCTAACGTGGTAGAGACTGAACCATGCCTTATCTATGGCGAATGTGTGGTCGATTAAATTTCCGTAAATTGCTCGTAAAATACGCGTTTCCAACTGGCTTACTCGAAATCAATTTAGGGAGACCCATTTTTACCCAGTTTCACAATCTGTTCTAGGACATCTTGCGAAGTTTTACTCGATAGAGTTCTTAGACTATAAGCTCTGCTTTCGTGAAAAGCCTCTTCGGCCATAGCAGTGCGTTTTCGTCTTTCGGTTTCCGCCTCTTCATTGGTCTTCAACGCTTTTATCACGTCTTTTGAGACGTCTGCACAATTTCCGTACTGTACTTTCGCTTAAGGCCTCCTTGCGTAATGTTGCTAAGTTTCTGCTGCGTTATGGCCTTCCTGATTTACGAAACTAGAAGATATTTTTCTTTTTGAACCCATTTGTCCTGCAGCAAAGCCAATCGTATGGAGTACTGAACAGTCGGATTTCGTCTGCTATCAGCACTGAGCTTAAGTGTTAGGTCATTTCAAAGTCTACCGTACCCGCTTCTAACATCTCTACCATAACTCGAATCACGAAAATTAACCAAGACTAACTGATGTAATAGATGGGAAGAGGAATAAGCTATCGATCTCCAGATATAAATTGCGCGTATATCTAGAACTGATATGTTTCTCATAACAAGCACACGTAAAACCAGCGATGTAAAATAGACTCAAGATACATTTAACCTGCTTTCCTAGGTATGAAATTTAGCTTTCTGTACTGATAATGTTCGCTGTACGTGATACAATGAGGCACGACATGTCGACACTCGAAGGGTTCAGTCGAGAAGTAATCTTAAAAAAAAAATGAAAATAAATTTGTGGGGAACGCAAATAGTTTATTGGCCCTTCATATCATGGCGGTGTCCGAATTAGAATTAATTAATAAGACCAAAAAAGATGAGGTTGAGACGATCTACGAACCCTTTTAATAAGACGACATGCAAATTGCCTTCAAAGGCGGATCAGTAACGATGTGGCGGTTTGGTATCGTGGTAAGCCGGCTTCAACAAACGCGTGGTACTAACAGCGCGTATTTGCGAACAGAAATGCCTATGTATGTCCTTCATTTACGCCTATGTTAAGGGAACCAATATAAGATTTCAAAGAGAATTCACTGCTTTGTTACAAATAAAGATCGTATTTAGTATGCAACCGTAATAATGCTTCTGGTAATAAAATATATAAGTAAATGGAATAAAAGGTATAAAGCTCTTATCCACGCTCTCAAAAAACGTTTCCAACCGATTATCCAATTCGAAATGCGCTGTGATTTTACAATTCAGTACAAAATCTCGTTCCGTGTCAAATCAAATCTTAAAAACGTACCACATCGGCAGCTAAAACCCGTTTTGTGTCTTTACTTATACGTAGGGCAGGGTTGTTTGATCTCGATGAGTATCATACCTCGTTTGCGTACAGTAGAGCGATAGGAGTTTAATGTATACCTTCGTCCATTCCTTACATAGAAAATTCTTAGCATATAGTTGTATATAAGCAAACACCCAGTAGTTAGTAACCCTAGGGCAATGGCAAAGTTACGTGTACATGAAAAATAGATTTTCATATCTTCAGCTACAGCCGTCATCACCTTGCTTAAAGACTGGCCCCAAACGTTGTAATTGGTTCTGAAATTGAGCCTAGGTACATTACCCCTTATTCATGCGCTGTTAGTTTTAAACTTGTTTTCATAGGCCGGAAAAATTGTTTAAGGCATTAAGCTTGCCTAGTTTGTCAAAGGTATGTTTTCAACTGGAGAGGGCGAAACACAATGTGGGCTATCTCATTGTTAAATAACATTTTCCAAGATCGTGTTCCATCTCTTCTATTACACACCTCAAGGGTTCGATAGCGATATTAGCAGGAACGTTTTACAGTCACAGTATACAATATTTATATATCTCTGTATATATATGTCTCCCTCTGTACACTTCATCCACAGAACTAGGTCGCTAAAATATTCTAAATGACTGCGTGCTGCGCCTCTTTTTTCCAGATATGTCCATTGTTTCTTTACGGTCAGTTCTTGTAGCTCAGCATCTTCTAGCCCCAATTTACCCTTCGTTTAGTTTTTTTTTTTTAGAATGTTCCTCAACACAACGATAAGCGGCACGGTCCTTTTTTCTTTGACTTCGTCTCCTTTTTTGATTTTGGTTTCATAAAGGGAAACCTTTTTGAGCACATTAGGTAAATGATGCTCAAAGAACCATACTGAACCCATTGCCACTCCACGGTTAACAGGCTATTAGTGCTTAAGCTTCGCTCCGGTTTGTATATAGACTTTAACGCCCGTTGTGCAGTACCTTTGATCTGTTCGATGCCTATCAGGCCTAATGCGGGCGAAAGTGGACAAATATGCATGCTTGAAAACTACGTCGGTCTGAACAAATTGCGGAACACTTCCGCCTCTTGCTAAGCATTGAAGAAGTGTTTACAATAGCCTTGAGATACAGGTTACTCTTATAAGAAAACAAATATTTTGACTATCCAACTACCCTCAACGACTAAGCGCTACTTCTAATACCGGCGCGTGACTAAATTGCTCGTTAATAATTTCACACACTTTTGCACACACGAACCCTTGTTTCAGTCGCTGGGCCATCGATGACCGGCAACAACAGCATGCTCATTGCAATATGCCTTGTTGTTCCCAGAACTCGATTCCACCTGTTTCATGAAAAACAGTCGAGAGCGGACCAGTGGGTCTTGATTGCGACGATGATAATGCAGCGCGGCAATATTAACAGTAGCGGTAATAGCGCGGAGGCGTCAAGACATACTGTCAGCATAGCTATAGCAGGCAATCCAGATTAGACGCGTGAAACAGACACATTCTGCATCACAGAGGTTCCGGGGCTTTGGGATTCGGAGCCGTCAGTCAAGGGGCTTAGCAATCATCTGAAAGATTTAGCTGAAGGGAAAAGAAAAAACATTAACGAAAAGCGGAGAAGGCCTGCAAAAATCAACCCTCTAAGTACCGTATATTCAGTTGTTTTCATATCTCGATAGCAAGTTGGGCATCAGCAAAATTGGGATGGTCTCTCAATTCTTTTCAAAACTCTACCACATGCGACTCGTTTCTGCATAGCGTTTATCAAGTGCCATAACATCGCTAACGGATACCACAAGATCATCCGTGCGCACTCGCGTAGCGCCATTGCAGTTTATGGAGGAGGCTTAAAACTTCACAATGCCAAAACTACGCCACCAATAGCACCCTCTAATTACCATCGTATTTAACGTGCTTTGTGGTCGGGCGAGTTTTCCACTCAGCTTCAGGTTCAACAATGGAAAGTCTGCGGCGAGAACAGAGGCCTCGAATACGACTATCTGAGCTGAAATATCCATCATTGAAGGAGGAGTTTAAGGGTTCTGCCTGCGTTGTAGAAGTGGTTGCGTGCGTATAAGCACGTGTTTGTATGTTGGCTGTTACCCCCCTGGCACCCGAAGTGTCCGGACAAGAAGGCGAAACCGGGTCGATCCACAACCAGAGAGCATCGATTGCACTGCACTCGTTAAGCTTTTGAACTTATCAAACACATTAGCTAAGAATACAACATAATATATAATCATTCCCAGCTGATGATATCAGTGAGACGGTCCAGCAACTTTACGATTTGGAAAAGTGGTCAGATTCTAGATGATGCGAACCCTGTCCTGGTCGACGGCCGCCACAAAGATATCGCAGGACGAGTAAGGCACGATGAGGGCAGGACTCGCTTCGGCGGGTGTTATCTCGCTGCGAACGGTGTGGGCAAGAAAGGTATCTGTGTGGTTGGAGGACATAACTGCCGTTTTATGAATATATGGGAAGCGAACCACGTGGTGGCGACTGGTCAGACGCCTGTCGACCACACCCGGAAGTAGCGCTGCCGCTACAGTGGCGCCTTTCCCGCACAGGTTCTTTTCCCTAGTTCCTTCGTTTGAACGACACATCTAGACCGGCGTTTGCGCGATGCGTAAGGCTCAACGATTGCTTTATCACTCCGATATAGAGCCGATGGATCGGCTCCTGTTTTTCTCACAAGCCTGCATAAGATGTCTGTCAATGGCTTTTTATAACAAGAATACTACACAGAGCAGCTAACTCGTCAGCAACGGGAACGGTAAAAACGTTACGAAGCGAACGATCCTTTGTACATGTTAACACCTATTAATAAAATTGACTTGCGTATATGGATGTTTTCAGTTCTATTGTGGTTGAAAAAGATCACCAATAGTGCCGCATGTTCGGCAGTAAACAATGTAAATGATGTATTATTATGGTCTGTATAATACATGAGTCACAAAAATGTTTATTCGCTCATATTGCTGTAATATAAACGCCCTGGGATCCATTTTGGCATTGCCGGAAGACGACAAGCCTTTATATCAGTACTAAAATTATTGTATATATATACATCCTGTATACACGTTGTTTTGACTACGTCAGAAGGTCATATTTATAAAGAAAGGTCTCTTTTTTTCTCGGCAAATCTA